TGATTGCTCATTTAATCAGTGGCACCCTCCAGTGCAGAGGTGGGGTGTCTATGTCTATGTCCCTCCAGATGTTGTTGTTACCTTGCTTTTATCCTGCTTTTTCCCTTCTTGTGAGGAACTCAAAGCAGGTTGCACAGCTCCTTGTTACCTTCACAGCTGTCACCGGATGGGGTGGGGTCAGAGCCTGTAGCGGACCCAAAGTGACCCAGTGAACCTCAAGGCCAAATGGGACTAGAACCCAGATCTTCCAGGTCCCCAGGCCAGCACTCTAGCCTCCCCACCACACTGGCTCTCTATGCTAGCTAGGGATGATGGGAATGACATGTTCTCCATCCCCTGCTGTAAGGACTCATCCAAGAGTAGTTCAAAACCTACAGTCTAAATAAGTATGGGAAGTCAGGAACAGGCAAAAATTAAATTGAGATATATTGGTAGATCTCCAGGTGATTTGTGGTAAATCAGCAAAGCTTCTGACTCCCAACAGATTAGCAAAAATAGTAGTAAAAAGTCTTTTCCCCTCCTAAATTGGCTTGCTGACACGAAGAAAGCTTGTGATGGGTATTAGGGAGAGATGTATGTATGTAAAAAGGTTTGTGCACCATATGAGCCCAAGTTCTGGTAATGGAATTAAATTCATGGCCTGCTCAGTTTTGCAGTCTGTGTCCACTTCTTGAGACACTCTTTTGAGCCTGGCATGAGTTAGTAGTTCTTGTAGAATCCAACTAGCCTGCCCATCCTGCCATTTAACCAGAGGGTGAAATGATGACTGGATGAAAGATGGGTTCCTTCCATTTTTATTTTTACTGGTTAATAATTGTAATGATGATATCCAATTTTTTCCCTCTTGCAAAGTTGGAGATAACAAAAAACAAAAGCTTTTCTGCTTCATTTTTTATGGCAGCAACGTGAGTAAAATGGGCAAAAGTGGCTCCCCTTTTTATTGTTATGCAGAAGAATTCCAGCAAGTATTGTATTTTACACCACAGATGCCCAGATCTCCCTTGCCCAAGTGTTAGAGCCATCTTCCCCAAGCTGTTGATTGAGAATACTTGCAGTCCAACACATCTGAAGGGCAGCAGTTTGGAGCAGGCCGGATGTTTGGGAGCCATGATCTGCCATACAACTAGTTTTTCTGGATGAAGAAGAGCTTGAAACAACAGAGGGCACAAAATAGTCTGGGATCCTCTGGTAGATCTCTGTGTGATTAGCAAAGCACTCTCACTCTTATTTGTTTAAGAATAGCCATTTTAGAATGGTGGAATCCCCATTCTGTAACAATTCAGATGCAGTTCTGGGAACAAAGGTTGCCCACAAATATAGGCCTGAGGCTGCTGCTGAGGTCGTGGCTGCTGACTTCTGTTGGTGGCCCTTGGAGCTGCAGTGCTGAGCAAGGCTACTTGCCAGCCTTCCTCCCAGGCCCTTGTAACTGGCAGCACCCGCTTAGCAAGTTATCGCCCTTCTGCACCACTTCAGGCCTTTCCATTCCGGCCCAGTCCAGCCTGCCAGTTGTGTCTGTGGAAAGCCACGCGCTCCTGTTTTGTTATTGCTGGAGAGGATTTATAGCATTTGGGGATAAGGCTCCAAGTTATTAATCAGACAGATGGAAGAGTCCAGTCCAGTTTATTGTGTGATAGTGATGAAAGATAAGTCTGAATATTGATGCCTTAGATAATGATTAGGAGATAGAAAAGAATTGGGGGTGGGGGAGAAGGAAGAGAAGCATTGTGGGTAAATATATGCTGTTTCTGGTGGTGATTACCCTTCAAGTAATTAGTTTTTAAATCAGGCAGACGTTTTCGGGAGCCATTTACTCTGAGCTGGTTTAATTATTTATGTTCTCTTTTATTTTCATTATTTATAGCAGGTTCTCTCTTGAGCGGGAGCCGCATGGCGCAGTCGGGCCTCTCTGTCGTTCTGGCAGGGGGGCACTTCTTTGGCGCAGGTTCCCCTGCTGCAAGGACAGCTATCCTTAGGCTCTGGTCGCCAACCAGGCCGCTGGCTGCAGGCCAGCCTGCAAGTGGGTTTTCCCTGGGCTGCTCCCTGGCCTTCTTTAGCTGGACAATGAAGAAACCCAAGAGAGCCCGCTCTGCATAGGCCTCTGCTGCCCTCCCACCCTCCAGCCATTCCTTATAGGCAGCACATGCTCTCCATCTCCCCCGCCCCCCACCAACCAAGCAGTTCCAACACTTTCCTTGGACAGAATATTGAATTTGGAGTTGTAAGTCATCGTGGCACTCACCCAAGGTAAATTTCATTTTGTGAAATTAGGACTACTGTAAAGATGCTGATTGGAATTAAATTATCCTAGGGAAAAAATGCACCCTGTGCAGTATATTTCCAACATCTGCTCAAATTCGGTGCAAACATCTTCATTACAGTAGGACTGTTACATTTTTGGAAAGGAAGTCACACTGTGAAAATGTTGACAATGTGGCTTCACATCAAGTCATTTTCCCCTCCCCAATTCCACTTCTGCCTTTTAAAATAATGTCTTGCCTGATGACATGATCTGGAGATCTCAAAAGCTTGCACAACCTTTGTGTTCTTTTTACTTTATACTTCATATTAGTATAATACTAATCATATTAGTATAATATGACTATGAGAAGTATTATACTAATATGAATTTTAGCATCTCCACTAGCTTTCAATTGACTGGGTGGCTTACTTTTAATAGTGCAGACATGTTCTTTGTCTTGAGTTTCTGAAAAAAGATGTGACTTAGATTGACACTTTTGGAACATGATTTGCAAATAACTGAAGTTAGAATACTCGGAATACTTAAGTGTTCTGCTTTGCACTGAATGGTGCACAGCTCATGTACCTTTCTGGGTCGTGGCCTCTTCTCGGTGGGACAGCTGCATTAGGGGAATGAAGGTGGAAGTCCCAGACAGCATTGCCAGCAATGGTGGTGAACCGATTTACAGTGCTTCACCCATCGAGGTCCAGGTAGGAGAGTGTGGCAGTCTGAAACATCCCGTACTCAGTCCGTGCTGGATGTGGCCATGCTCTGGATTCCTGAGCTGGGGATTCAGGTGGGGGACAAGCCTAGCACAACCTACAGAGCCAGTGAGCAGTGCCTCCTCCATTCTATGCCAGCACTAAGCTTACAGCCACCCCCACATCTCCCTCAGCACATGAAGAGCTTCACAGACTAAGGGCAAGCACACAGCGGAACTGAACTTTTGAGCAGATGCAAGGGCCAGAGGATACAAAGCAACAGAAAGCCATTACCTTCAGCTGCCAAAAAAACCCATCAGCCATTTCAACTTGAAGTGCCTTGCCCTTGTACATAAGAAGTAGGCCTGGTATATATTGCACTTCCCCTCCTGCCACCAGTAGCTGAACCCACTATTCAAGGATATGCTCAAATTGCAATCCTCATTTCAGGCAGCAATTTGTATCAAAGGTAAGCTGGCTTCTTAGGGTTGCCTTAGGTCTTTTGAGAGCATTTGCGATCATTAACAAGGAAGTGACAGATTTCAGACAGGTAGCTGTGTTAGTCTAGTGCAACAAAAGTAACTCAGTCTCATGGTACCTTTTAAAGCAGGGAAGGTCAATTTCCAGCCCACAGGCCTCATCTAGTCTGTGTTGGAGTTCAATTTAGCCCTGCTTCCAGGAGGGAGAATCACTTTACTATTTCCAGCCATAGATTGCACCTCAGATGGTCATGGCCAGGCTGGTAGAAGCATTATATTTAGTTTTCTAGGCAAGTTGCTTGTCCTTGGCCACTCCTTCCATGCAGCCATGTTACAATGTTGCCTGAGGTTCTGTAATTGCCAAATGGGCCCATGGGCCCCAGAGTTTGCCTAACTCTGGACAGTTGGCCATTCAAGGTGCCACAGGTTCATTTACTGTTCTTCTGAATCAAGAAGTCACGGATTAATGGTTCAGTTCGTATGTGCCAGGCAGGTTCTACAGAATGTCAATGAGGAATATACTAGCATCTTTTCGAAACTTCCTATGGAGTTATATCCTCTTCCTTTGCTTCAGGTCAAATGAGATTGCAAGTGTGAGATTATGTAGGAATATGGAATAATATGCAATTGCATTGTACTAGCGATGCCCAGCTTGGCCGATTCATTATTTAGCTCTGACGGCATACAAGGAGCCAAATGCAACCACATGAGTGGGAATCAAGGGAGCTGGGGCGGCTGGCTTCTCAGGTTTACAAATGTGGGATGTTCCCACATCTTTGCTGACCCTGAAATATCAGCAGGCGGTAATTGTGAGGTATGTTTCTCACTGTATGTAATCTGTCCTTTCTCGTCTTCAGATCTGGTGAACGTTACGATTAATGGCTTCATGACCTTGACACTCCACTGTGGCGGCATTAGACACCTATGTGTCAACCTCTGATCTGGCAGTTCTTCACTGCATTTCTCTAGCCTCCAACAAAGGAGGACTCTGCTTTCGTTCTTCTTTTTTTAAACTAATAAAGCCTTGCATTATTTGTGAACATGTATGTGCTGGAAACAATCTCTTCTATGGTATAATTTGAAAGCTGTTACACAGGGTTGGTGCTCTTTTGGTGACTGCCATCAAGGGTGGTTTTTTTTTTAAAGTTGAAGAAAATCTGAACTAATCACTATGCGCAAGACAAAGTGGTAGCCTTAAGTATTAAGGAGAAGGAAGGCAGGGGATATAAAATGTGCATCCATTCTACTCTGCCTCCCTCCCCCTGCATTTAACTGGGAACTTCAGCAGAAGCTGAAGCAGCTTTTGTATTAAAAAAGTTCCTAAAGATGAATGTCCAAAAGTGCCTTTGTGTTCTTGGGCAGTTTTCAACTCAGGGCCCCAAGCTTACATATATATGTAGGGTTGGATCCAGAAACTCATTCTGCAAGTAGAAGGATACTGGTGTGTGAAATGTGACTTCCATTTCCTTTCCTCTTCCTTTGCATAGCCCCCCCGCCCCCGCCAACATAAACCCTCCAAATCTCCCCCAGAGCATTTGGCCCGATACACTTTGATTATGAAAAAAATTCAACTTTCCTGACATTTTCCATTTGAAACATTTATTTTTGGGAAATACATATTAAACACTATTATTTATACAAAACTGGACTAATTTTGTCATAATGCATACAATCCTCAAAAAGTCATTTTTTAGACGTGGATGAATTTTTTGGTTTTATTCAGTAATCCCTCCCCTCCCACTCCAAAGTACAATATAAAAGGAGAATGTCATTTCTGTTTTGCTTTTGCTGGCTGAGATATTGGCAAGTAAGATATGATGCTTTTTTCCTGAAGTGTATTTAGGAAAAATGACATTCTCCATTTCATAGTCTTAAACACTTGAAATATATATATTTTAGTTAATACACAATTTTTATTTTGCTAAAATATAGCAAGTCAGCAAGTAAAAAAAATAATTTTCCTCAGCTTAACACAGCTCAGTTAAGTTTCCGCCGTTTTTGTTTTTAGTTTGGGAAGGACAACATAAATGTTAAAAGGGCGGTTTAGATTTACTTGCAGCACAAAATTTATGAGCGCCTCTGAATAAAGAATATTTGGAAGTTTATTCATCAGGACATGTATTACCAAACAAAACAGAACAAAATGTCTGATAATGTGGACTCATGAAAGAAAAACATTTGTCATGGGCAGGATGGAAGCAGCAAATGAGGTCATAGGAAGTCTTGAGTGCAGAACAGTTTCTATGGTATAACTAAGAAGACCTGCAAGAGGGAAAAGCTGGCCATCTGCAGGCATCGGACTGTGGCGTGTGAACATTCCTGTAAGGTGTTCATCCTGAGAGTGGGTCACAATGGGGCCTGAATGAACAGGAGGGAAATTGAAGATGGGCCTTGTATGAAAGCCCCGAGCCAACACACCCTTCCTTTTTTTGAGGGCTCCACAAGAGGCCAGTTTGGCTGGTGCTTTCTGAGCTGTGGTGAATCTACCAGTATGTGGCACCAAAAGAGCTGTTCTGCAGAGCTGACTACAAAGATTATTTCCTTCCAAAGAAGGGAAGGCTGGGATATATTGGCTCTCTGGATTAGATGGCATAAAGAAACAAGGGTTCTGTCTCTCTGATTTGGGTTTACAGTTAGCAACTGCGGGGTTTTTAATTCCTCCACTGTTATGGAGCAACTGCATCTGTTGCATCTTCAGAGGGCTCTCTCAACTACACTGGACCTTTGATCAAGAGCTGTATGTTGCAGAAGGCATGCAAAATCCTGGTCTCCGGTTTCCATGCAATACAGCTTTTCACAAGATGAACAACACGTACAGCATGTCTACATATGTACGCCTGGGAGTTTTAGCCTCACTTCAAAGGGTTACACACAGAAATTGCACACCAAGAAAAGCTAGACTATCCAGACCTAGAGCTTCTCTATACTCTCAAAGATGTTGGAAAGGTCAGCCTAATGATTCTAAGGACAAGACTCTTCTACATTGGCTTTGCATAAATGGTTTGAGCCTCTGTAACAGGCAAGCATACACTGAACATTTGAACAAAGTCTGAACGGATGAGTGTAATGGATTAACACATGCACTTCTGAGGAAGCAGCAGGGTTTGGGGTGCCAGCCCTGATGGAGGGGAATATTGCGAGGAAGAGGACTCCCCTTCTGAGATTCAGAGTGATCTACACTTACCAAGAGCAGCCTGTCTTTAATAGAATTGACATGATTTATCCCACAACTGGCCACTTCCTCTTTTCTAATGAGCAAAGTGGCTTCATGTTATTGCTGTTTTTTTTTTCAAGGAAAGGGGATAGAGATGAGACACACTGGAGTAAGAGTTGCCTAGTGCCGAGTGGAATGGTTACACATGGTCATAACTAATCTCTGGATCACTCTACCCTCATTATAAAAAGCCTTATCTAATCATTAAAAAAATCACCTGAAGTGGACGGAGTTTTACACAGACACACACACACACACGGAGGGAGGGAGGGAGGGAGGGAGGGAGGGAGAAGATATGCTAGCAAAGCAGATCCCTCCCACCTCAACATACGAAAGAGTAAACTTTTGGCACTAGGTAAATGAAAAAGCTCAGAAAGATTTCCTTAGACCTGAGCAACTGAAACAGGGAAGGCAGTAATGGGCTCCTCTCTAAGTTTCTCCTCCTCCTTGCATGCAGTAGGAAGATGCTGTGACACGTCCTATCTAGCATCCATCTGAACTTCTCACCAGGCCAAAATGAATAAAGTTGCTAAAGAAAGCTGCCATGTCCAGATGTGCCTCACTCTCTTCTCAGGGTGAGGCTTCATAAACAAGGTAAGGAATGGGAGACATCCCCTTTTCTCCTGACTGCAGCCTCACCCCGGACTCTATGGGTCTACATGAGGAACCTCCAGGCTTCTTCAGTAGGCAAGATGTCTGTGCAAGTACGATTCCATTCCAAGAGGGAAAAGCTCAGCTCCTGCTCCCTCAGCCTCAAGAGCCTAAGATTGCTACAATCAATGGGAGTTCCACCACTGAGCTCCAAGAAAAGTCGTGCTGACCCATCACAGAGGATGGCTACAACTGATGCTGAACATGAAACCAAGAAAACCTTCTCCTGTTGACATTAGCTGCAAACTCACCCCTCCCTTCTTGTCTACTGCTACACCTTAAAGGGAAGGACAGAAGAGATGTTTAACACCACAGAGACTGGAAAAGAGAGAGTACATTTATTAAAGGAAATACTGTTATTTGGTCAGTTAACATCAGCAGCGTGTGTATCATTGGCAGAAAGGAGAGAAGAACAGTGAAGCCCCAACGGAAGGCTTATATGATTTTTTTTAAAGAAGAGAGAAAGCAGAAGGGGGGAAAAGAGTAAATCGGGTCCTAACTCAGGTTTGGAGTGTTACATTTCATTGGCCACCAACTCCTCTTTGTCAGCTACACCATTGGAGAGCATATTCTGGCCTTCGTTCAAGCGTTTGACTCTGTAGGCTTCAAAATGGATGCTGCTGGTAATGTCCTTGATGTTTTGCATGTGTGTCCTAGAGGAAGGAGGAGAGAAGTCTATACTGAAAAAAGTGCAATGCAACTCTTGTGTTGCAAACAATAGCAACAGTAGTTGGATACTATAAGGTAACAAAGAAGAACACTTGCACAACTTCAAAGCTCAAGATCCCACAAACACAAGAGCCCAGATTTATCTCTGGTACCTCCAGTAGCTGAGAACGACCTTTATTGGAGACTGTAGGTGGAACTGAGGAAGACTGGCCAACAGAATAACTCAGTGGAAGGTCAGCTGCTTCTCTCAATTCCTTCTTCCCTCTAGGCAGGCCTGGCTGGCCTGGGAAAGCATGGCCGTGTCAGCTCCTCTCACTCAAATGTCACTCTGAGCTGCTTTTACCAGCTATGACAAAAGCAAGGATGTTGCAGTGGCTTCAGTGTTACTTCCAATGCACTATTACATGCATTCATATCCAAGACTAAGTTCTTGCTTCAACTCCAGAAGTAAGAACTGGGACTGAATTGAATGATCCCTTCCCACCAACTTTCCTCCTGGCAAAGTGCTACCAACCTGATCAGAAGATCCCGCAAGTAAGCAAACTCGCAGTGCGTCGTATTCTCAACTGTAAAAGCAAGACACGGTACTGGATGTTAGTTAGCATAAAAGTAAAATTACAGAGCGAGGCAGGATTCCAAAACTCACACTAATTCACAAAGATGGCTGAAGCATAGTTTGGACAGCCTCCCTGGCCCACCCACCAGAAAACAGCTGCCTTGTCCCTGAAGCATCTCATTCTGTTAAGTCAGAACAGGCTCCTCCATCATAGTACCCCTGCAGAGGTGCTGGGCAACTTTGACTGCATGGTTGGAGCTGATGGTGGTTGAAAAAATCCGGAGGGCTGAGAGAAGGCTACATGTGAATATCAGATGTAGCTCTTCAGAAAGTTCCCCAATGGCATTATATGCCTTGCCTAGAGGAAAGCCATATTTACTCTCTCCCACCTCCTATAAACAGTCAGGAAGTGCCATCTCTCAGAGAATCTATTAAGCACCTGCCTTCTGATGGCCTTGCTGTTTTTATGAGTTACTAAAGACTGGCCACAGGGGGGAAGCAGAAGGCTTAAAATGAACCAACTGTTTTCTTACAGAAATCCTAGTTGAGATAAGCAATTCCTCTAAGGAGTTAAAACAATCACAATTCAGAGAAACCTATATAACCAGAAAAGCAGCACCAAAATTAAAGTAGCTTGTATTAGAAAAGGGTTAGTGAGAAGAGAACGGGTCATTTGATGGTGCAGGCAGTAAGAGGCCAGTGTGAGGGAAGACATAAACTGCCTCAGATATTTCCAGTGGGATGCCAGTGAATTATGTGGACTCCGTTGCTCCAGTGGTCCCTGTGTGTCTAAAACGCACAGATATAACATGATACTGGAAACAATTTTCTGTAGGATACCTAGGTTAAAGGAACAGAATGAGCATGGCCAGCAGCATCTCCTCTCTCCACACACTTCTTATTGAAGTGGTTATTTGTGTAATTCCATTTACAGACTAGTATATTTTCCATGTCTCCAGAAAGCAAAGAGCAACAGATAGGCAAGAAACTGAATTAAAGGCAGACTGAGGGCAAAATTGGGGATTTATTTTATTTCCTGGCTGGTACTCCCTGACATACAAAGAGGTGTACACGAAGACGAGACAGCCATTTTCAGTTATGCATTTCTGTCTACAGAATGGCAGGAAAAAAGAGCCATGAGGCCATTTCTTTCACATGTGCTGGAAAACGGCACATCACTGAAACAAGAAAGACCCTTTTTCACATGTGATCCTGAATCGATGCTGGGCAGCATCAACCGCTCCCCAGAAAGGAGGCCTCTGAACACCAAGTCAAGCCAGTTGCCTGCTCCAGCCCTTTGGCCCAGAAATCTGTCATGAGCGACTATTTTAACACTACCACATTCTGCTGACTAACATGATTTAAAAAACGCAAACACAAACTGCCTAAAACTGATGTATCGACAGAGAGAGAAAAGCAGCCAAAGACAGGAGAAGGGGCAAACTCAATGAAGTAAACACCCATGCTGTCGAAAGTGAATTGCTATCTCCCTGACAGCCCTCTATCTGCTAGTCCTGGTTACTGTAACACACATGTCTCTGGACATCTTTCCATGTTGTCAAGCAGGATGCAACGCTATCAGGATCCAAGAATTCAGGGCAAGTATGCGTGCTCATGCACAGTTCCATCTTTAAGGTTCAGAAGCTGATTCATGGGAAAGATCAAGCAAGTGCTGGTAGCTGCAAACAAATAATGTTACTTGACTCTATGTTTTAGGCTGCTAGCGTCCTTCACAATTGCTGATACAGAGGACTGGATAAATGCAGGGATGGCACTGATGGGTCGTGGGGCCCCCCCTCCATATTATCCCTTTTGCTCCCACAGATTTCAGTTGCGATATAAAATGTCCTATATAGCAGCATTCATTTGCTTGGTGCTTTACAGAAGGTAAGAGGAAAATGGAGGGAAAGGTTTCAGTGCCTTATCTTTGGGCTGAGCTACAGCATGACATGGAAACTCTTACTTAAAGAGAAGTAAGTAAAATCAATTGCCTGTTGTCTTTCACACGTGTTGGTGCAATCCTGAGTTGCATTTGCCTTCCTGCTCCTCTCTTCCAGCATTTTCTGTGGTGCTGCAGTTTCTAGCAGGAGCATCTTGTTTTCTTACTCTGGATCTGTGTCTGATAGGCCATAAAGTGAGACTAATGCTTTGAAGAAATTTCAGGAGGATTCTTCACTTCAAAGCAGAGAAGGGCCTCTTTCTTCTGGCAGGTCTAGGATAGGCTAAGACTTTACACCTCTCCTTTTAGCATCCTGTATTTTTGTAGGCACTGGTCAACATCTGGAGGGCCACATGACTCCCATCTGCCCTCACCATGGTTCAAGCTCACTAGGGCTGAGGAACAAAACATTTGGATGGCCACATTTTGCCATCTCCTGGTCTACAACTTCCCCATAAAGGGAAAGTGTCTAGATGGAAAATGAAGAATGAACACAAAGACAATGGAACATCCTGGGCAAGCAGAAAATCCTGCTTACTTCTTCCTACACCTGCAGTCCCTGCTGAAACCACTGGCTGTACTATTTAGTTCTATTCTGTCTGGTGGAAGAAAAAGGCCATCTGCAACTTGGCTCCAAATCCTTACGCATGCAGTCCTCCAACAACAGCTGAGGCATACCCTTTGGCTCCAGGAGACCAAAAGGGATTCCTCTTCACTTTCCCAGTCAGACATGTTTGTGAGTAACTTAAACCACAGAAGTGGATTCCTATTCTGGGAAAGTTCTCATTCTGTGCAGCAGAGGGCAGCAAACCACACTTCCATACAATAGGTGATGCATGTAAGTAGTGATGTGTGAGGAATCCAGTAAGGGCATGAAAATCCAAAGGTTTCACAATTATGCCCCTGGGATTCGGGTTTGCCAACCATGTCCTGGTGCTAACTTGCTTATGCTGCAAATCAGCCAATATTATGGACACTGCACTATATCCATGTGCTTTTTGGCTTTCCCTTTGTATAAAATACAACCATTTGCGAAAATAGCATGCGTTTGAAAACATCTATGCAATCTGTGCAAATTTGCGTTGCTTTTTTTCTTAAAGAAACAGACAAACTGCAGTCCCTCTGAGAAATGGAGGTCCATGTGGGGAAAAGCCTGACTCAGCTAACTTGTTATAATTGGTTCAGAAGAGGGAGGAAGTCTCCAGAATGCACAGAAGCCAGTGTCAGCCCATCCCTACACAGAACTGTCATCATCTTTGCAGATTTAAATGCTCCTTTGGCATCCTGAAACCCGGGTGATGGTGAGGAGCAACAATTAAGAGTGAGACTTCTTACCTTCAATTGTGCCCCACTTAGTCTTCCTTCCCAGAATTCGCCTTCCATTAATCTGGTATTCCTGGTCACTTCCCACCACAGCAAATGGAATCATTTCCTACAGTTAAATTGCAAACTGTCAGAAACAGGGGCTCATGCAATTCAAGTCCCTTCAATCAAAGTCGTATTAAAAGCTGGAAATGAATGGCTTTACTTTCTCTTATCCCTCTCCTCTTATTCTTGAGACTTCTGGCAATCTTCTGCAGCATGTCTGTCAAGCAACTCCCCGAGTATTGGGGTGAATGAAACCCCAGAAGCTAAGAAGCTATTCCTGAACTAGGCTCACTTTTTCAAGGACTGGCTTTTCCTTTGCAAATGTTCAGGAGAGATGAGGAATTCGCAGACTTTCACTGTGCATTCTTTTCCAAGGCAATGCATACAGAATATGGCAGGAAGGCTGTTAACAAGGTCCAGGCGTTATGAACACATGGCCCCACTCCTTTCTCACCTGCAGTAGAGAGTTGCTTCCAGGACCAATTTAAAATGCTTCTTTCAACCTGTTGTTGTTGTTGTTAGTATCGCGACCCCATGGACAACATTCCTCCAGGTCTTCCTGTTCTCCACCATCCCCCGGAGTCCACTTAAGCTCATGTTTCAACCTATAAAGCCCTATAGGTTTATAGTTCCAAACCTTGGAACTTCATTACTTAAACAAATGCCTTTCCCCATATATACCTGCTTTCCTATACCCTAAGAACACCAGAAGAGGCCCTTTTCTGAAGGCCCCTCAATCTGTAGCCCAAAGCGTGATCCAATTTGTAGAATATTCTCCTGAGAGTCTTATCTGGGGGCCAATTTAATGTCTGTTTAAGACAAGGGCAAGACAGATCTACTTTCCCAGACCTGGGTGTCAACATTAGCTTCTTGATTATTACTTGATTGATATCCCATCTTTTCTCCCCAATGAGCTCAGTGTTTACAAAAGTCTCCTGCCTGTTCTCAATCTTATCCCCACAACAACAGCCCTGTATGGTAGGTTGGACTGAGGGTCTGTGGATGGCCCAAAGTCACCCAGTTGGCTCAATGACTGAGTCCCAGACCCATGCCCTTAACCACTACACCACACTGGCTCTCTTAATGATGGCACTGGCTTTTAGATGATTTATTGCCTTTTAGAGGTGCTTGCATGTTCTCTCCCTTTAAACTTAATTTGGATTTTACTGCTAATTGCTATATTCTTATTGCTGAGTTTTGTTTTAGAGCTAACTTTCTTGCTTAAAGACAGGGTCAGTCCAAGGCATTTTGCTGCTTGAAGGGCGCTGATATGCTGCAGCCAGCCCTCTCTGTCCACACACAGAAGCTGCAACGGACTCTTAGTTCCATGCCGGCAACTGCGCAGCATCCACAGTGCACCTGTGGCCAGCAGGCGGGGTGCAGGGCTGGCTGCAGGACACACCGAGTTCGGTCCTCCCAGCATGTTACTGGCGCTTCCTGCCTCAGCACCATCTGCTGCCCAAGATGGCTATTTAACTTTCCCTAGTGGTAGGACTAGGCCAGCTTAGAAAATGTATTTTTAAAGCTGACTAATGAATAAGTAAAATGCATCCTTATCATGTGAGGAGGATGCTTTAGGCTCAGGCCAAAAGCCTGACTGGAAGCCTTTGAGCACACGTGAGTGGGTGGGTGGCAAGCAACTCTCTTCACTTACTCTAAACTTTTCATTTATTAGTCGGTCTTCAGAGTCTTCATCAAACTGTTTCTGGGGATACACATCAATGCCATTGGCAAGGAGATCTGCTGTGATCTAAGGACAAAGAAGACAGGGGACATAACAGTTGTGTTATTCGATGGAAATGCCACCAAAAGGCCCTTATTGAAAGAGCTTTCCCAGGAGCGCTTGATCTGGAGTAGCAACATCTTGCATGGCCAAATCCCGCATTGCCCATGGCTGGTCCCAGAATCTGCTATACGGCACATGATGTACTACCCTTGCTAAGGTCTGGGCCTGGCAAGGGTCTGGGCGGGAGACTGATTCAGAAAACTACACACAGTGCCTTGCTTTTAAAGGCAATATTGGGCAGGGCAGGGCAGGGCAAAACAACAAAACAAAACAGTGGCCTAGACTCATTTGGTCCATCTCCTTGTCTCCTGCTTTTAAATGCAGCCCCACACAGTGGCTGCACAGTGGTCCTCCACTGCTGCCTTCGGGCTGCCTGCGCCATCCTGCAAAGGCACCCATGACAGAGAACTGGTGCTTCGAGTTTGCCTGCAAAGGGAAACGCCACTGTCTTGCAACTACTGGGTCAAACAAGACACAGTGGAAGACAGAAGGGTGGGAATCTGAAGCGGGAGCAGAGCGGAGCATACGCTTCTCCAGTTACCGGTTGCCAGAGGCCCTGTTCTGAAGCACACCTGAAGGAAGGTCTGCAAAAGGAGAAAGAATTAAGACCAGGAACTGCATTTACTTCCCTCTCCCTGAGGAGCAGGGAAGCCAAAAGAAACACCTGCTCGGAGAGTGATGAACGCTTTCCTCTCACCACGCAGCACCGCTCTGAGCTGGGACCCAAGGAATGCGCTGGGCTCCTGGCCAGCGACTGGGTTCAGTCAAGTGTGTGGGGAAGACGCTGCAAGGAGGCCAGCAAGGTCAGGGGGCCCCACCCCTTACCCTCTGCTTGAAGTAGTCCCTCTCCTCCAGTGTTAACGTGTCCGCCTTGGCGATAACAGGCACAATGTTGACCACTTTGCTCAAGCGCCTCATGAATTCGATGTCCAGAGGCCGGAGGCTAAAAGAAAGAAGAGCAGGCTGCTTAAAGGGAAAGAAGACCGGCGCCGTCGAAGTAGACCTGGCGTCGCGCTTTCTGAATGGCTGCGCTGTTGAAATAAGACTGCAATTCAGCAAGGAAGCGACTTGGCTCCCTGTACTCCGCTCAGGCTCTCCTGAGCAAGAATATAAATGCAGGTGCCCACAGCTCCGCTCCAACTCACGGGACTCCTCCGTCTTGCTCATCCCAAGTCACTGACTGTCAGCCTTTTTCCAGGCAGATTCCAAAGTGCTGGTTACGAGCTCTGAGTCCTACCCCGCTTGGGACTGGACTACATAAAAGACCACCTCCTTGTCACATCTAAGCCCGCCAGAATTTTAAGATCAGGCACTGCCGACATGTGCGCCTTCTTGGGGGCTGCTCCCAAGTGGCTTGGGGGCTTTGCCACACCTGGCACCTTCTCTCCTGTCCTGCTGATAGGCAAAGAGGTCTTTATTCCAGCAGGCCTTTGGTTTGGAAGCTGGCTTGTTTGATGGAAGCTGTTTTATTTCGTCTATTATTGTGGGGGTTTTAAATGGCCCTTTCAGTGTATTTGAAAGGGGCACGGGGGAGGGGCCCTGCGGCCTTCAAAGCGCCGGCGGCGCCCGGGCCAGCCTCCAGGAGCCACGCGGGATGAGCGGCCACCCCACCGCGGTGGTGGGATACTTGATGCGGCCCAGCCTCACCCAGACTCTACTTCCAGCGGCCCCCAGGGAAGTTGAGTTTGAGACCCCTGCCCTTAACGGCTTGGGACCTGGTTATCTAAAGGAACGCTTGCGTCCATATATGCCCTCCCGCCCCTTGAGATTGGCGACAGATGCCCTTCTCCGGGAACCCTCCGTGAAGGAAATTAGGAGGGTGAGTACCTGGAGGAGGGCCTTCTCTGCAGTGGCACCCAACCTATGGAATGCGCTCCCCAGAGGGGTCCGCCTGGCGCCGTCGTTATTTGTTTTTCGGCACCAGGCTAAGACCTTTTCATTTAAAACTTATTTTAATTATTAATTTATTATGTATTTATAGGATTTTAAATTTTTAAGCTGAGATGTTACTGGGCTTTTTAATCTTTATTGTATTAAGTGTTATTTATATGTTTTTAATTATGTTGTGAGCCGCCCCGAGGCTTTGTTGTGATGGGGGCAGCATAGAAATGGTTTAAATAAAGAAAGAAAGAAATACTTGGGCTGTGGAATGACACCCCCTCCCACTGCTCAGGAGACCTACATGGTGGGCTTTTCATACCAGATGAAGACCTCTTTATTTTCAGGCTTGTTCGTTTCTCAGTTTATCTTAAAATGTTTTCACTGTGTTTTGGAATATCCCCTGCTATTGATTTTTACTCGTGTTTCATTCTGCTTCATTCTTTAAAGCTTTTAAAACTGTTATGCTTTATCATGCTGTGCTGTGGGTTGCAATTTTGGTGAAGCAACCTGAGAGGTATGGCTATTGAGCAATACAGAAATGTAGTGCGTCATCGCCATCGCCATCGCCATCACCAACATGTGGAAGTAGATATTTGCTGTATGAGCTTTAAGCACTGTTCCTGGAGGCAAAAAGGTATTGCTGATGTGTGTTCAGACTGCATGTACATTCGGCACACAAGACACAGATACACACTGTTGGCTATGTAGGAGTGATAGCAGAAATAAGAAAAATCAACTTATGTGAAGCACCCTACTGTCTAGGCATCAGCAAAAACAGAAGGGCCAAGAATTTCAGCTCAAACAGCCTTCCTAATTAGAGGTTTTATTTGCCAATGAATACAATGCCAAATGTTTAGCCAACCAAAAGTGCATTCTCCCCCTTACCCAACCCTGCTACTTCCAAAATAACTTGGCTGGGCCTGGCAGTTGATAGGGAGTAGCCATTCCAGACCAATGACCCACAAAAGGAAAATTTGTTTTTTCAAAAACAAGTCGTTTCATAGCCCCAAAGAACTAATGCTTTGCTTTGCAAGAAGAAGCTCATTAAGATGAGGGATGGAGGAGAATTTCATGTGATGCATTTTTTAAAGCAAGCCAACATAATCTGCTCTCTTTGGACTAATGCAGAGATCAGAACCCTAGTTCTCTTTCAGATCATGCACATCTCTGAATGTCGTGATACATGGTTTATTTCTGAGCCAGAAGGCACAACTATGCCCCCACAAAACACCCCCAAAACCAATGTGCAAATTCTGATAGGATTTTCTTTGCCTTTTCTTGGCGTGCAGGGCCTCCACACACAATCAGGCACACTTTGCCAAAGGAGAAGATGCCGCTAGTAGTAGAACACAGGCTGTTTGAACAGAGACACAAGTGGAAAATGACAGTGCCAGATGATACTTCCAAAGGGGTACATGGGGAAGCCAGAGGGGGACTTGGAGAGCAGAGAGTGTACGAGCTGAGAGACTGTGCTCAACAGCAAAGGCAGGCGGGTGCGTATTTGCGTTCTGACTTCAGCCTGCCATATGAGGGCAATTGTGGAATACCAGAGGGAAAGATGCCAAACATGTGACATGAGCTGTTTATTGAGATGCACCACATTAGAGAGAGATCTTAGTCATGTTTAAAAAAAATCTTACAGGCTACTGCTGCCTGATATACATCAATCTGACTGTATGGGTTTTAATGGCTGATATAGAGTCCATTCCAGTTACTGGTTTTTAGATGTTTTGCTGCATGTTGTATTTTATGCTAATTGTCAATTGCCACCTTGAAAATGATTGCATTGAAAGGTGGGCTGGAATCGTCTCAATACAATCAGTAACTGAAAAGGAAGAAAACTCCTTGGTTCCATCCAACCACCTCCTGTGGTTGAACAATCACAAGCCTTCCCTAGGAAGCCTCAGAACTGTGTGAGGCCATGGAAGGTGGAAAACCAGGGGCCTCTACAAACTGAATCCTCCACCCCCATGCTTGCAGGAGAGGAATGGGGGTTAGTCACAACAGCCCCCGATCCCTGACTCTGACTGTGCTTCCCTCCTGGTGCCATGGAGTAGCTCCAGTAATGCAAGGCAGTGTGGCGAGATGCCTGGGGCACCTGTGTGTGAGAGAAAGACTGAGAGAGACTGAGAGGAACGATCAACTAAGGGGAAAAAACAGTTCCTTCCCCTTGAGTTACCACAAAGGGCTGTGTAGTGAAAGGCTGGCTCTGGGTCCAAGAACACACAGCAGGTGCAGCCATCTGCTACAGGTTTCTCTTACGCACTGGAGCCCTTGGGTGACTGAACCAGGCTTGGCAGAAAAAATGGGGAGGCTGCCTCCCCTGGCTGACAAAAGGACTTGGAGGGTGATTGCACTCCCACCCCATGACCTGTTCAGCAGCAGAGAGCCCCGACTGAGAAGACGGCTGAGTGCTCCTGGGACTGCCATGGGTTCCTGCTTCTGCTGCTTGTGTTACTCACTCACTCTCCTCTTAAGCCCCAGGGCAGGAGTGGCCCTGTTTGTGGCCCTCCAAATGTTTGGCTCGTAATTCCCAGCATCCCTCACCATTGGCTTAGGATGGACAGACAACATCTAAATGTCATGATGTGTTGTTTTATATTGTTTAAATAATTGAGGTTCTACATTGTAATTGTACATTGTGTAAGCCATCCTGAGTGCTTGGCAGAAGGACGGGATATAAATGCTTGTAATAAACAAACAAACAAACATCTGGCCAGAGGAGTTCTGCTGGCCACTGGCTCCAGTGCAGCAGCTGGAGGGGGTCAGACAGGCCCACTGGAGAAAATCTCCTCAACTCCTGAATCAGCTCTTGTGACAAAGACAGAACATGTTCTGAGCCAGTCCCCCACCCCCCACAAACACACACAAACAAGCAAAACCCAGCTAGATGTCTTTGGAGGTGTCCTGCATCACTTGCACAAGGAACATTTCCACAGAAGCTGTGCAGAAGCTGCTACTGTGGGACTAGTTTCATCACAAGTTAGTTCTTCTATTAGGAAGGCGTGCGCAGGGACACCCCAGTGACACCCAATGAGCTGTTTTTTCACAGCCTGTACTGAGGAAAGGAGGGAGTGTTGTCTTGGCAACAGCAGTGCATGTTGCTCTTGCCACAAAAAGCTACCAGAACTTTGCCTCCACCATCCACCACACAGCTCGCATAAGCTCCCAGCATGAGCAGCCGGACAGAGCGCTTCTCATCTCTGGACCACAGGGCAGCTTCCATTTATGTGTTTTCTCTGAAAGTAGTGACTGCTACCAAAGCACTCAGGAAAGACCTATCTTAAGGTAGAGTGCAAGGCATCCTGCACCTACAGTGCTGAGCACCTTTGCCGTAAGGTGCAGCTGGCAGCCGGGCTGCTGCTCCTGATGCCCGCTGTGGATCAGCCTCCACGAGAGATGGCAGCTCTGCCCAGGTGAACAGTGCACCTGAGCAGTGCATGGGGCTGAGGGCTGTGCATGCATGCCCTGTCCCCTGAATTCCTGCCTACGCCTGTCCCTCCCCGAAGCCTTGGTCCCCAGCCCTGCTGCTCTGACCACCAAGACCGGAAGGCGAGTGCTACACGTCCCAGTCGCGATGAGGATTCTGCTCGCCCTTGAGTGAATGTGCGAAGAGCAGCCCTTCAGACTGCCTTGCTCCACACGGAGTGGTTGCGGGCTGAGAGAGGAGATGAAGTTCCCAGGGGCTTGGGGAGTGCTGCCTTCCCACACGGCCCTGCCCCACTCACCACGCAGGCAAAGGCTTCTAACCCTGCTTAGAGCAAGGACAGGAAACTTGTTGCACTCGGGATGCTTTGGATAACCACTCCCATTATCCCTGCCATTTGCCATGCTAGCTGGAGCTGAAGGGAGTTGTTGTCCAGGGCATGTGGAGGGCTCCAGGTTGCCTACCCCTGAACTAGGGTATCTCACAATGCCGTTTGGAATCCCAAAATGGCTTTCTGGGGGTGGCTTACACCTTATGTTTGGTCAGGTCCAAGAATACAGAGGGAACTAGCTGGGGCAGCTTAGCTGGGCACAGGTCAGATTGGCCCTTCCTGTATTTTCACTGTCAGCTCAGCTAATGAACCTTATATCTGAACCAAAATGTACAACACACACACATTGTGGGGGGGGGGGGCGGGGACTGGGAATGCACAAATGGAACTGTTGAGTTAGGAGTTCATAGCCTCTTTTCAGACCAAAGGAGGATTTTCCAGATGTCAGAACAGAACCTGATGGTGAATTTATAGGATGGTGAATGCTTTCAGTATGACTGCTTTGGCCAACACTTCGCCATACTCCAGCACATAACAGTTTTTAAAACATGAGTTTTACTAGACTGTTGCAAAAAAGGCAGGAATATCAGCTTTGTTTCAAAGCTGGTCAGAAGGTCTATGCTGACAAGACCGGGTGGCTGGGGGAGGGGGGAGCATGGCTTTGCTCCAAGAGGATGGGGAAGTCACCAAGTGATTTACACCAAGTTTTACTTTAGAAAACTAGAACAGGAGCAGCTTTCCACAAACTCTTAACGTTCCTTCTGAAATAGAAGCAAGCAAGCAACTCAGCCATCAAACTGGGATTGTAACGAGGTTGGACAATAGCTCTGGCTTACAGGTTGGAGCAAGGGTTTCAAATGGCTTGTAAAAGCCACTTGGAGCTTGCCTGGCTCAGTACATGATAAATATTTATGACTACTGAGAGAGAGAGAGAGAGAGAGAGAGAGAGAGACTTCAGTCGAATTGAATTTAATCCAAATTCCATCAGCCCAGAAAGCAATGTTCATTGCAACCTGGTCTCCGTGTCCCAAAGTAATGGAAGCTCGATGTATAATATGCTAATACAGGCAGTGTATGAAAAATGCATGTGTTGTACAGAGAGGGTGCCGAGACCCACGGGTGTCTTAAGGAGAAACCAAAGACATCTTTGGAGCTTGTTCGCATGGTAGAGGGGATGTGTGTGAAAACCTGTATGGCTTTTTGATTATAATCCACTGACCATCTCTGCTCTTTCCGTGTAACAGTTTCCTGACTGGTGAAGACCCACTGAATCTTTTCGGGTTTATAGACGTTACAATAAATCAGTGCTCACACATTCTCATGACTCTCCTGACAGCTCTGAAGGCTAGACGCTTTTAGTTTTGAAGCGTGACACCCTGTGAACTCTACATATGGTACCAGATTATGGAATATGCAGTGTTAACCTTGGTCATGTGTTGTTCAAGTGAAGAACATGCACTTCTCACACTTCAGGGAAGGAAACAGAATGAGGATCTGGTTGCGGTTTGGTGCTTAACAGAACAGCTAAGCACACCAAATAAAAACAAGGCTCATAGCAGGGGTCAACACAAGGCTACCTCTGAGCATGCGCTGTGTGCATACATGCCCATGTACACATGGTGGTATGTATGTATGTATGTATGTATTTATACCCCACCTTTTTCCTGCAAGAAACCCAAGGTGGCTCACATAATTCTCCTCCTCTCCATTTGATCCTATATTTTCCATTTTATCACAATTAACCTCTAAAGTTGGGCTAAGAGTCAGTGCCTGGCTCAGAGTTACTCAGTGGGTGTCATGCCTGAGAGAGGACCAGAATCCAGATCTCTTGAGTCCCAGTCTGACACTCTAGCTCATGGGTCCTCAAACTAAGGCCCATGGGCCGGATCCAGCTCACCATGCCCATTTAACCGGCCTGCCCCAGAGGTTTTGCACTCGCCACGTACGTGCACGGGCATGCATGGGCGCGCAGCTTGCTTGCAAGGAGGTTGTTTTGGACTCACTCGGAGAAAACGATCTCCTCGCGAGCAAGCCGGCACCTTGCCCCATGCACCCCCCCTCCCTGCCTCGCCTTGCATGTGCACCCCACCCCCTCACCGGCCTGTGCCCCCCCCTGCCAGCACCACCTTGGTGGCCTGTGCCCACCGCTGGCACCGGTCAACTGGCCCCCTGTTGAAAAAGTTTGAGGACCCCTGCTCTTACTACTATACCACACTTTCAGTTCCCATTACACTCAGAAGTGTGTTACAGCTGTTAGACTGTTGATGAGGAACTTGACCACGACCGAGCCCTTGCTCATTAAGTTAAATTCACAAAAAATGACAAGAGAAAGGTGAAAGAATACTACAGAGAGGCAAAATTTCTTATGACTATTTTTCTTCCTATTATTAGTAATATTTTTATTCCTATACTGCCTAATAGCCTCAGCAGGTACAAAACCTTGATGGAGATCTCACACCCTATAAAGCTCGATAAGGCTCAGAAGCACAGAATGCATACACAAGCAGCCTATGTCTTCATACGCTCAAGGCGACTTAAACATCCTTGGGAGGGTATGGGGCGCTGGAGGTGGGGGGAACTCAGAGGAGCTGTAAAGACGGGAAACCATAAAAATGCACAAGCTGGGTTAACCCTGGCTCATCTGTCCGTCTGTCTGTCTTTCCTTCCTTCCTTCCTTCTTTTTGTGCAGAACCTACAAAAATACAGAATTGGTATGGCAGTGCCAAACCACTATTCCTTAATAACAATGCAAATTGATTGAGGAAAAGGGAGGGGCACTAGTATTATAGCTAAAAAGCTTTGTGACTAGATAGAGTAGTCAAGTCATACAACTGATTTCTACCATTTAATTGCCCCAGTGAGGTGGAATGGATATAGCAAGCTAAGGGGGCTCTATTTCAGCAGACGCTTTTCAAGAACGGCTCTCTTTCTTGCTGTCTCCTGCTAAAGTTTCTCCTCCATCCCCCCACTCCACTCCTCCATCCATAGATCTGCATCCTCAACTCAAAACTGTACTAAAAACCAGATGTCTGTTTTGACAATGGAGAGGAAACCAGTGGCCCTCGAACAAGCTGTCTGTGGCAGGAGCCAAGGGAACACCTCGTTCTAACCCCCAGCAGGGGTATCATGCTACTTGTAGCCAAAAGCAACTGCAGGGCCATGGAAATCAATAACGGAGTGTCTCATAGCTTCAAAACCATGCTTTATATTAGAAACACATGTCCCTGGGAGAAGGGGAATACACCAGGCAGACTTTCAGGCACCAATCACCAGGCAAGCAGCAGGGTGAGGGGCAAGCAGCAGGATGCCATTAAAAGGTCTCCGTTGGGCCGTCGACCATTTCAGTGGCTGTTGATGTGAGAACTAGTCCTGCAGAACTGCACTGGTTCCCAGATGGGTTTGTGTGGAGCAGGCTCTTGACCAGACAAGCACCGAACAGAACTGTTTCAGAGGCTGCCAGAAAAGGGGCGTGTGCTCACACATGAGAGGTTGTCTGAAAATAGCACCAACAGGTATTCAAGGCTTATTTGAAGCCAGAGATAGACTATATTAGTGCAGACTGATTGTTCTGAATTACTCTAAGTTTTAAGTGAGTTGCCCGAGGGGACCTACGAGGGCCAAAAGTTGACTCGTGAATTTGCTAATAAATAAAAGCAAATGTTTTCTGAAGCTGCCTAGCTCCAGAGGGCAACAAATGGGGTTCGTGTTACAATGCATGGTCAATTTGCAGAATGTTGCTTATGTTTATGATCCATATTTACATTATTATGTCCTTATCCTGCTCGTCCCCCAAAGCTCTCAGACTAGAATACATGGCATGAGCACTCTTCCATGTGGGGCAGGCCAGCCTAAGAAATCGTGACTGGCCTAAGGTCACCCAAGAAGTTGTGTAGCACCCTTACACAACCGGCCCATTCCAAATCATGCCCTGCGAGAACAGAGCGCAGCATAAAAAGGTGCTAACAAATCATGCTCAAGATGACAGTAGCTGACAGACAAGCATGGACTCTGCAGGACGAGAGGCTTTGTTTGGTGACACTACAGTTAAAAACAGTGGTGCAAGGAGTATACATACGAGTGGCCGGTGGCGGGGATGAAGTATATACAACAGTGGACTCTGCTGTCTGGTATCCGCTTCTTCCGGTTAATATTAAGCTCTTCCTGGAGGTACTTCTCATACTGGTCATTGATGAACTTCATAATGGGTTGCCAACTGTGCAAGGAAAGGAAATGTATGTAAAACAGGGAACCGTATCTATGCAGGTCTCTTAAAATGTGTGTATATAGTCTCTCACACACATTCTTTCTCTTTTACACACACACACACACCTGCTGCATGCAATGTTAAACACACTCCAAAATAAGTACTACTGAAATCAGTAGTAATCAAACCTAATTCCAAGTGGATAACTTTAGGACCAAGGAGACAGAATCACAAGACTGCAAGAGAGTGGAGTCAACTTCCTACACTGACAAAGATATTTTTTCTATGCCAGGACTGTTTTGGATTATAATTATCATAATTCCCCTGCACGGGCCATGCTGGCTGGGATGATGGTTAATGTAGTCTCAAACATCTGGAGAGCATTAGATTGCTGTTCTCCACAGCCTGGATGAAATCCAGACCCATCCTGCAGCAGAGGTCATGAGAATGAGATGTTGCATGAATGCTCCAGGCTCTCTATGAATGTTGCAGCTCCTCTCCATTTTTGGAAGGTTAGTAAGGATGAGGTTAGTAGAAAACACTTGTGGTGGATGCTGAAGCGTTCCTGCCACACCATCACCTATGCTTCCCTTCTAAGGCAGTAATGTCTGTATGGAAACAGTCTAGATATTTGAGAACTAAAAGGTGCAAAACTGAATCCAAAACCTGATCATGAAAATAATCTTGATTTTAATATTATTAAATGCTATTTAACTATATGTCTAACTTTGACAGAAATAAAAAGCATTTAGCAAGAGGAGACACTTTCTTCTACTATAAACACTGTAATATAACAAGATTCTTATTACAGTGCAGTAGTGTCTGTCTTTTTGTTCCTCTAATAGAGAGAATTCCTTCGCATCTAACTCAGGGTCCCCCCCACACCTTAAATAAAACACCTGGCTTCTAAGAGGTTCTCCATCAGTTCCTGGTGGATTTACTCCCAAATGTTTTACAGTGTAAGATGAAAATCAGATACCTTTATGATAAAGCTAGACCTCATCTTCCTGTTGCAACAATTGCTCCAAAATCCTTAGAGCAGATTTGCAGCGTAAGGGTAGCTATGCAGCCATGCGGTTTTGAAGCTGCTGCTTTGTGAGCAGCCTTTATTCCCATCATCCTTAGTATATGCAAGCAGAATCTTCAACATATTTTGCAGATCAGCAAACATGTGATGAAAGGATTAATTCTAGTCACCACATAATCAGAGGACAGCACTTTCAACCCTCTTGCTATAATTTTTATGGGAAAGATGTTTGAGGAGAGAAGATAATTTTACTCATTCTTTGTAAAGTATCATAATTTTCCTTTCTCTTTATTTGCTATCTTTCTCTGATTCCCTCCTGTCTTTCTCTTCTCATTTTATCTTCCCTCTTGTATTTTTATTTTTTTCCTTTAGAAAAAAATTGGGAGGTGTTCATGCACTGGAGAGGGGGAGAGGCCGCACTGGCCCCTTCTGCAACTCAAAAAAAGGGCTAGAATAAACCCTGCCTCCTGCTTGGTGCTCTCTTCTAGGGCTGTTGCAGCTGATGAATAAGGACGCTGAAACATCAAAACAGGGAGCAGGATGGGCTTGGTGAGTTCACACATGATCTCACCAAGAGCCACAGTTGCAGGTAAGCAAACCATCGTTCTCCTGGAGAGGGAAGCGAGGAGAGAAGACTGTGTTCCGCACCCCAAAGGGGATGGCAGAACCGTTTTGTAGCACTACAGCCACGAGGAGCAGAGTGTTGTGAATGCTGCCAGCTGCTCCTACGGACAAAAAGGAACTAAGAAACTGGTGGAAGCCACACCTGCAGCAAGTGGGGGCCCAGAGCAGGTGGGATGGGGCTCCTGCCTAAATGCTGTTCAGCTCTAGAAGGTTCCAAGTTACTGCATGGGCACATAATCCCGTACATGCGAGTCTCAAAGGACGCATGAAGAATTGATGCAAGAATTGTCTGAATGAGATGAGATGGCAAAATCACCAACTGGGGAACGCACCAACCTTACTTGCCTTAGAGTAAGGCAGGTTTCTAGGGAGATGAAAGTTCTCATACTAAGGAGCTTCAATGGACAGGAGGCAGAGTGGCCAAGGCAGCAGAGCGATAGCGCCTCCATACAGGATTTCCTCAGACCCTGCTCTGAAATGCAGCTCCTTGTGCACACAGAGCTTGGTATTAGGGGCACTTTGTGTTGCAGGAACGGCAACTTGCATTTTGCAGGTTTTTAGTTTTTGAGGACCGCTTTCTCTGTAGTCTGCTGTTTCCCTTCCTCTGAACCATCGTCCTCCATAGCTAAGGACAGAAGTAAGTTCTGAAATCAAGTGGAAAGGTTGGATCACTTTTTGGCTGACTTTGGAAGACTGGTATGGTTCGAGATCTCCTGGCCTGGATCAGTTACTGCAGTCTCCCCCTAGCTGGTGTCCTCCAGATGTTTCGGCCTGCAATTCTCATCGGCATTAGTCAGCATGGCTAGTGGTGATGAATCATGGGAGTTCAGGAAAAACATCCGGAAGGCTTCCCTATGTGTCCTCCTGCCCCTTGAGCCCTGAGGCGGAGGTCCTGCTCCAAAAGCCCTCCTTGGGTAGGAGGGCCTTGTCTGCAGTGGCGCCCTGACTATGGCATATGCTCCCCAGAGAGGTTTGCCTGGTGCCGACATTATATTCTTCTCAGTGTCAGGCAAAACCATTTTTATTTTCCTGTTATTTTACTGCCTAATTGATTTTAACTGGGGTTTTAGTGTATTAATGGTCGGATGTTATGGGGTTTGTTTTATTCTTCTTATTTACTGTAAGCTGTCCCGAGATGTTCTGTTGGGGACGGGACAGAAAAACGAGTAAATAAACAAGGCTGCAAGTTGTCTAGCTCCGCTGTGGAGAGAGGCAAAGCTGGTGCCCCAGGCTTCTCCCGCCTGACCTGCTGCCTCAGCCTCTCCTTGCCCAGGGGCCTTGTTCATCTGACTTCGATGGTCACTCACCAATTCTCATTATTGATATGGTCTCCAAATCCTGGGGTATCAATGACAGTCAGCTTCATGCGAACACCTTTTTCCTCAATTTCTGCAATGGAATGCAAATAAGGTAGGTAACAAGATGTCAGTCCAACATCAATCCAACAAGGAAAATTCTTCCAGATTTGTACATTCACTAGACAGGCAAAAAGTTCTTACAGAAGTTTTCCTAAGCTTTTCAGGAAACCTTACATTTTAGTGGGCCAAATGAGTGGTTCTCTCGGCCCCTTTCTCATTCTGTTGCCTGTCAGAGCCCCAGCATCTCCATCTCCCCAGGAAAAGAACTCATAATCCTTTGGCAAGGCTTACCATGTGTGATGGACTTGATTTCAATGGTCTTGGGGATCCGCTCTTCAGAACTTGGCTGCACAGATTTGCGGCTGATTTTCGATTTGAAAAGAGTATTGATTAGAGTGGATTTTCCCAAGCCACTCTGACCTGAAAGGCAGGAGGATGCAAACATATCAGAAAATCTCTCTCTTCCAGTATTAAAGTCCTCCCACCACAAGCCTGCATATGTTCAAGCTGTGTCAAGACAGGCGTTCATGGCCTTCCTCTTGTACTTGGTCTGGTCTTCCGAAGCTCACTGACATCCAACTGTGCAACCAGCAACCTGCTTTCCACATCAGCTGCAGCTGGGGCACAAGAGGGATGCTCCTTGAGCAATGGTTGCAGGGGCTGCTGGCAAGCCCCCTCACAAGCATGCTTCTTTGGCATCAGCTGCAGCCACTCAAACGGCACCTGCTTGTGGCATGTAAGCAAAGCACAGCCGGTGGTCGCAGGGGGCTGCTTTCCCTCTGTGAGTCTCTCACAGCCAGCCTTTTCCAGCACTGGCTGCAGCTTTCAAACGGCAGTTCCTCCTGTTATGTGAGGGGCACTCTTGCCCACAACGTGAGGCCTGATTCCTGGCAAGTGCCCTGCAAATGCTGGACAGACTTGCCAGGAAGCCAGACTCTGGACTGCAGCAACATAGACCAGAGTTCTGGGAATCCAACAGATCCCTCTCTTATTCCGACTGATCTATTTTCCAGTGGACACTCAATATTCCATGGTTCCTGGTGTCCTCTGACTGTGCCTATCCACACTGGCCCTTTTTGGGTCAATCTGCCCCCAGGTTCTGACTTTTGTGCTTCTGCAAGCCTCGGATTTGCATCTCCCTCTTGTTTTCAAAGGCCTCAATTTGGCTGCATTTTGCTTGGCAGAAGAGCAGTAAGTTGGCCATGACAGGGAGAATGAGAAAGAAACACATCTTGTGTATAAAAGCAATGAGCCGAGAGGAAAAAGTTGCTTCCATCCTTGATTTTGATTGACCTCTGCTGTACCACATACTGTTTTCCTTCCTCTAGTTGATATCCTCCATGTACAATAAATCCAGCAGCTACAAAGGGAAGAGAAAGTATCTAATGTTTATGGAAGAAAACTATCCATGGATTTTTTTCCAGCAGGCTGAGAGTAGATAAACTAATTATCCAGTATTAAATTAAAACAATAATTGTGGTGCTAAAAAGAGTTATACTGGTTCTTTTACATGGATTCAGCCACCACTTACAGTCCCAAATTCAAGTCAAAATTCTGATAAGCAAATATGTTGAAAGAGTCAAATGACGAAACCCACAAATTTGTCTTGTTTCAAGAAGGGACGTTGCAAAGTATTGCTTCTGTGGTTTGATCCGACACAGAGCTCAGGAAATCAAGTCTGCCTACAAAGGTTATGGCAATCTTTCCATGGGAAAAAGGCAGCCACATTCAATATCAAAACTGGAGGTCTTCTGCCAAAGCATTTTTAAATGTTTGCCTAATACACAGCTACAACCTCCATTGTGGCTCTGCCTTTCTCTCTTGGTCCTAGAAATATGTATATCATGGTGAGCTGCCACAGCTTGATAGGAAGCAGCAGCAGCAGCATGATAGGTGGAAAATATTGTTGGCCTTGAAATGGGAGAAAGCTGCCCTAGGAATAATGTGCAGCACCCAGCTGACTGTGTGAGTAGCTCCGATTTATTTTGCAAACTTAGTCCAACCCAGTGGTGCACAGGAAGCTCAACAGGCATGACAGGAAGTTCAAACCAAGGGAAGAGAAATCCTAGCTAGGTTGAATTGTGTTTCTTCAAGCCAAAAGACTGACCCCCCCTCTCTCTCTGTGTTCCATATATATTTGTACGTAACAGATGCACGTATATTTACACAGAAGAAAAAAAATGAAATAGTGGCCTAGAGGACATACTGCAGTTTTAATTCAGCAGAAAATTTTGTTGCTTCTGCAAAAATTATGCATGTGCATGCATGCACGTGCGCGCCCGCTCGCGCGCGCGCGCACACACACACACACACAGAGGACTGAATCCATTTCTGCCTTCCAGAGGTACAGTCAAACTGCTGTGTGAAAAGGAAGGAATTCAGAAAATGGAAGGGAAGCAGACACCCCCTATATCCCTGGTGCTGCATTCCATCAAACCACATATAGACAGGAGAAATGGAGTGCTTCATTTCCTAAGGTCTCTGGCTCAGCAGAGGCTGTGGGGCAACGTGAGATTTTGCTGAAAACTATATACCAATCCATTTGTCAGGAGATGGAACAAAGTACTCTTAAACCTCAAATACTATGTCAGGTACAAATCAGTCAACGAGAACTTTTTGCTCCCTAAGTGTCGGTTCTTCCTATTGCTGTGAAGCAGAATTCACCCAGTGTTGGATTGCTAACAAAGAAATGTTTTAATAAATAAATAAAAATAAACATGAAATGGGTTCAGAGACAGGTTAGTTTTATCCCATTGACGATGCATTGTTGTGGTGATATTAATCCTGCTCAGGACACAATGAACCATTGCTCCAGACATTTGGAGCATGTACTTAACTGAGAAGCTGAAGGGACAACACTACCATCTGTGGGATTATGGCTGAGCACTAATCAAACCAAATAAACGCAGAGTTGCCTGGCCCAAGAGCTGTGAATCTTAGGAGCAGAGTACAACAGGATGGAGGCTGCCTCTTACCTGTGCACACCACAAGCCTGTAGGAACTCTTTACTAAAGCAGCTGCAGACTACCTGGTTCTAAGTCATGATTTCATAGGCAGTGCAGCAGCTCCCTTGTTACAATCTATTCAAGGACCAGTAGACCAGGCCTCAGGGTGATCCAGTGGTCTGTTGGGAAAACCCAGTTTTCTGAGAACTACCCAAACTAGCACCACCTCACCTCTCAGAAGGTGTTTTCCATGGCTTTTTCAAGAGAAGGGCTGGGTGAGGTAGCCCAACATCAGGCCTAGTGGGAAGACCTTGTCTCCAGGATACCAGCAGGCCAGGTGGGTGGGCCTGACCTCCTGCAGTCTGTTAAGACTTGGGCACTACCTCCCTGCCAGCAGACATGGCCAGCACTTCGTCGTTGGGTTAACCAGGCCTCCGGGATTCTTGTTGCCAGGGGCTGAAATTGATTTTCCTTCAGCTTTGGTCTTCTCCCCCACCACCCCACAAATGCCCTCCCACCCTTAAACTATCAGTAAGTCTGCACAGAGGCAGGTGAAGCCTAAGGCTACTACAGAAAACCAATGCATCCAGATAGGCTTACGTCTAAAAGGCTCTTGGGTAACTGTGTCTGCAAGGAGCTAGATAACTGCAGGTGCTTTCTCACCATGGACCTTGTGAAGAGGAGGAGGAGGAGGAGGAGGAGGAGGGGTGGGGCCAGGCCAGGGCCATTTCTGAGGAGTAAGCAGTATGCCCAAGCAGACCTATGCTGAGCACCTGGGATGGGGGTGGGGGAACGGTAGATCTGCCCTCTGACAAACTAAAACATGGATAGAATTTACAGAATTGGCCCCATTCTAGTGACCTGGGGAGTAAAGCACTTCTTTGCATTCTGTCGGGCTTCTGACAAGCACTCATAAATGCCCTCTGCCAAAGGAGAAAGCACAGCTCAGAAAAAGCTCAGAATGACCCAGAACCATCTTTTCTCACCTTTGTTGGGAAATAAGGTGATCAGGATGGTTTTGAAGGGATCACCCATGCACTTAGGTGCCCAGAGATAAACATCAGAAGCAGTGGGATGATTACCAAGCATTCTAATTTACATGCACGCTGAATTACTGCAACCATTTGAACTATCCTCTCCTATCTTGGTAGGACTTTGTTCCTTACTTTGCCAGAACACAGAATGGGTTTACTCTGCCCGGTACTGAATCAGCTAAAGCGGAGTCTGTTTCTTCAAACTTGTTATCCAGCATGAGAACCAAGATCTTATCCATCCCATCTGAGGGATGGAACTCTAAAAGAAGCTGTTGAGCTGAAGGCAGCCAGGTGGTGCAGAGCCCGGGGCTCACTAGCCTATTTAATGAGACCATCTGAGTAAAGTTCTTCCCCCCAGAGGTTTCATCGTACAGGCAGTCAAGTACTGAAAGTCAGCACTTACAAGGATCTTCACCCAACACCTGGGCCCAAGCTAGGTGCCATTTTATTTGGATCACATGCCTTCTCTCTGACTCGCCACCACTTGCAATAAATCTTTAACTAAAGGCAAGAGTTCCTTGCTATCTCTCTGAAGCAGCAGTGACATGGAAAACAGCAAGGAAATAGATGGTCTGGTTAGTTTTAATTATATAAATTACTCTTCTTCTGAACTTGGTAACATATATACCTACAATAAAAAAGCTCAGCAATGCTATGACTCCAGTCCCTGCTATCAGTCAAGATCTCACAATCATTCTTTCCTACAAGAGAAACCTTTCCAACCGGCAAGCAGTCAACCTAGCCTCAAAAGGAATGTCAGCTTCTCCTGTTGTCATTTTAATTACTGCATTTAAATAATGTGTCTTTTGTTTTATTCCTCCCAGCCAATCAAACAGGAGGTGTGCAGTTCATAAAAACAGATCCAGGATGTCAAAAACCAAAAAAAGCTCTTCTCCGGACTATAGTTCAGGAAAGAGAGCCTCTTCCACAGTGACGGGCCTGGGACGTAGCCAGAGAGCAGTGATGACAACATATCTGGGATTGCTGACAGAGCACGAAATCTTGAACTTTGTCCAGCTAATTTCATTGTCAACGAAGCCTTCCCACAACTTCAGCAGTCCTTAATCCAGAGTTCTGAGCCTTCAGTGATAGGAATGTAGGAGAAATCTGCAATGTGTTCAGATGGGAGTGTTTTTCCGTGAATCTGACCTGCAAATTCTCCAGTACATAGTACTGCTTTTCTAAGTTGTGTGGATTCTGTGGACTTACAGACCAGTTTCTGCTTTAATTTAGGGAGGGATATTTACAGCCCCTTAGCACAAATGTGCATTTGCAAAACCAGAAATGAAATCTGCATGCATCTGGTTGAAAAATTCTACTTCCATCAATGAGCAGACAAGGGAACAAAAGACTCCGGACAATCCATGAAACACAGATGGAACTCATTTAACAAAATCCCTCTATCCTCAGTCAGCAGATCTTGCGTGGAAAGGTAGGACATCCTGTTTTCCACTGTGCTAGAGAATGCTTTGGCCCTGCAGAAGGAAGACAACGGGGGCCTTTCCTCCAGTCCAGGATTCATAGATTTATGAAGGGTGGAGGAGTGTATGGAAATGTGTTCTACCTAGCTGGTTGGAAGGGGCCGGGATGAGCTGGGGTGCCCTCTACCAGCACTCACACTTCCTTTGTAATGGTTAAGACTGGTGCCCCCCACTCTCAATACCACACAGTGCAAGAAATGAGGGAAGTAAGTGGAGCCACTTCCCAGCCTATTCTTCTTCCACCCAAGATGCAACATGTTCCTCTTCAAAACACTAGTAAATCCAGTCTCACTGTAGGTAAAGATGTGCTGCAAGACCACATCTAATACTGGAAGTGGAAATAAGCCCCTTAAAAGTAGGGATATGTGAGGACGCTGTCGGATTCCCTGGGCCCACCTCTCTGGACTCCGGTCCTCCTCTCTGGTTGCAGCCATGAGTGTGAGTCCTGTCTGAGCAGGCCCAGCTTTCATGCAGTGCTCACTGAGCACTGAGCCCCACACAACTGGCGCGCAAGTGGCGTCCCTCTTTTATGCCACGTGCAGCGGTCTCTGCTTGTGCTGCTATGCGTGACGTGACGGAAAGTTGCTGATTCTTCAACATTTGTTCATGAACCTTGTTCCTGAACATCTGAACCTTGACAGATTTCCTTTCCATTCTGATCACTTTCTAAGACAGGGCCAAGCATGAGAAGTAGTCTGCAAACACTAGAGGGGTGGATTCTGCAGAGCTTTGTTGCAACCCTACTCTAAACATGGTTGTGTGGCTACTTGCTAGAAGCACGGGTTGCTGCAGTCTTGCAAGACTTGAGTGAGTCACAGAAGATGTGCTCCGCACCATATAGGATGGTCAAGGAGTTGGCAATTAGTAGAAATAGGTGGGCGTGCTGGTGATCAGAAAAAGGAGAAAGGTAAATACGAACTCAAAACTTTGGCTAATAGTCTGCATGTTCAGCCACATGTGATGAGAGTGAAGCAGTGCAGTAGCTGCCCACTTTTAACAGAAGCCTTTGCTTCTGTTAAGAGACCAGGATGGTCTAAGACGGCCTTCCCCAACCTGGTGCCCTTCAGATGTGTTGGACTACCATTCCAAGTATGGTTAGGACATGCTGTGGTCCCACACATTTAGAGGGTATCAGTTTGAAGAAAGCCGGTCTAGGAACCGACCAAGGAAACTGGGGCCAGGTAGCACTCCTGCATATAGTATGACGTTTCAGGCAGGTTCATCAATGTTCTCTGTGGAATTCAAGCGAGACAAAATTCACAGAAAAATTACCCTCTGCAAAAATAGCATTTCCCAGTCCCAAACGAGGAGGAACATAGAGGAAACTAAGACTTTTAGTGGAAGAAATTTTCCACTAAGAAAATTAGTGGAAATCTATCAAGGTTCAAAGTCAGAGACAACACTTAGTGAACAGTGTACCTATTTAAGCTCATACAACAGAGCTTACTTATTAAGAGGCACAAGTGCATGACCTCTGACCTTCCAGGCAGGACAAAGTGGCTTAGTAAAGGACATGCGCAGTCACCTCAACATTTGGGTGACAAGATGCCTGCTGTGAGTTTGGAGTTTTCTTAATAAAACACAATTAATCACCTTTCATACGTTCAGTGTGGGTAAAGCTATTTTTAGGAGAGGAAATAATCTTCTCAGGAAACCATAAGAGCAGTAGGTAGCCTACCCATCAAAGGAGCAAGTTGTAGCCTCACAAATTTATCCTCAGTGCCCTCAGCCCAGAGCGGGAGTAGGGAAGACTCACCAACCACCATGATGTTGAACTCAAACCCTTGCTTCATGGCCTTCCTCCGCATCTGCTCCAGGATGGCATCTATCCCAACATAGGCGAAGTCAGCAGCCGGTTTCTCTGTCCGTGCTGGTGCGGCTTGCTTGAGGCCAGCATCCCGAGCGGCATCCATCATGTTGCTTGGGAAGCTGGGAGCAGCCTCAGGGCCTGCTGGCAAGAAAAAAAACAAAGATATATTATAGTTAGATTTCTACTGGTAAACTCACAGAATGAAAGCATTTATCAACATAGAGTAAGCTACCCAATTGGAGGCACAAGGGTACCTTTTAGCGACTGGAGTGGATTGAAAAGAAAGGAGGTCAGGAAATCCGATACAATTTGGGATGGGTGGGGGGCAAAAACAGTGAGGAACTTTGATCAACTTTTTTGGAGGGGTAGCCAAAATGGATGTTACATTTTACTCCATGTTGCTGTTGAATTATTTGATCAATGCCTTATTCACAGAGATGGAATTAGCTCAGCAGTGAAACTGATGAGAAAATGGCAGGCATATTATAATTCAAAGTGTCTTCAACACATATCTGTACTCATGAACTAATGGAAAGATCTAGCTCTCCCCTGGATAAAATATTTTCCATGGAAACAAGGGGACTTTTGGCCTCATCTTTTAACTCAGAGAGGAGAAAAACATGTGTGCGCACATAAACACATATTAAGATATAACTGTCCATTGACACAACATAATTTAATAGAAAAGCATGGAAATTCCAAAAAGGAGCTGGACCAATTTCTGATGTTTTTCAACGCACAACTGTCTATTTAAAAAAATCACTCACAGCTATGTTTTCAAGACTTGCTTCTCATGCCACTTTTCCAGTTCTGGTTTGTTAAGTTCTCAGTCTTATCTTTTAGTGGAGTACACACCGTGCTTCCGTTCTTCAAACTGCTGGACATGCTTTTGCTTTTGTTCACCCCTGCGGACACCACACATGTAATGAGCCTTGCTCAGGAAAGTTTGTGGCCAGCTAAGTGCTAACCTGGCAGGAGCATTTTAGGATGTGGATCACTACAAAATGTTAGATGTGAGGCTGTAATCCTCAGATGCTCCACATGCCCCATCATTCTACAACAGACTTCAAATTCGTATGGTGGATTGTTGGCAGTATTCCTGGATCAAAAAATTATAGAGTGAGAAAGCCAAGATGCCTTTTGATGACTCTTGAAATAGCTGCATTTTTAGAAAGGGATGGCCAAGTTTTGGGGGGGTGGGTATTTTTTTCTTTTTTGGCTATTCTTGTACAGCACTAGGAAAGAATCATTCCACATGGAAAGTATTTTGCAATTTGTAGGAATGTTTTGCTATCTAAACAGCCAAATTGTGGCCCCTAAGTAAAATAAAGCATGTTTCCAGCCTAACCCATTGCAACCTAACCAAGAAGAGGAGCACAGATCAACAACCCTGAACTTTCCAAATCCATGAAAATAATCTGGGGCAAGGGCCAGTATTGCAGAATAAGAGTCCTAAAAGTGAATGAATCAAAACACATAGTGCCCTCAGAGTAAAAGGTTTAACTGATGCCTTGGGGTTTCTCTTTTTGAGGGAGTGGAGTAGTGCAATAGTTCATACCTTTCTCCATCCACACTGGAAAAGGGCCCTATGCTGTTCCCTATGCATCCAAAATTTATCCTCCAGGATAAATCAGGACTTGACCAGAAAATTCTTAATTGGTGCTGCATAGAGAGCATTTGAGGCTGTAGAATGGAGAAAAGGAGCAGTACTATCCTCATCAACCCCTCCAAAAATACTTATTTTTAATTTTATTTCTAACAATATTAATAACCCACATTTTCCTCACCCAGGAAGTACAAATGTGGCTAACAAGGGGAAACCAAACCACACTCCAATCTCCAAAAGTGCATTCGATGAAACAGAATAGTACACCAAAGAGCAACGGTTTGTTGGAAAATAAACATCTTCCAATGTCAGTGGAACTCAGGCACCCAGGATCCTTACAGGGCAGGAAATACGGTGTGCCATCAGTGAGAAGGCGCCCTCCCCAAGTGCCACAGAACTTACAAAAGAAGGCAGTGGGATGTGTAAGAGAGCAATCCTATACGTGAGGCTAGAGGGTTGCTGAGAACAACCTTTGCAAGGTTGAAGACAGTGCTCCAAGCTCAGAAAAGGGAGTTGGGGATCCCTCCCCCCCCCACCATTTCCCCCCACATCTGGCACAAATAAAACTGTGCCGGCTGCCTGCAAAGATCAGTAAAGTATGTATTTATTTGATCTGTATGCCACCCCATTAGCTTGCAAAGATCAGTAATGTGTTTGTTTGTTTGTTTGATCTGTATGCCAGCCCATTAGCCATAAGGCTCACAATATATTATGTTCTAGTAGGCGAGACCAGAGAGACCAGGATGTAAGATGTTCTGAGTCTGGCCTCCTTCCTTTCTCCTCCAAAGAACCCTCAGAAAATGGTCTGAAAAGTTCGTCTGTCATAAGCCACCAGAGGAGGAGGCAGAGGTGTGCCGACTGCCTTTGCCTCTTTTCAGCTTCAGCCTGGCAGGACACAGGAGTGCTGGCCAAGGAGTGCGGGTGCAGTCAACAGGACTGTGCTCCAAGAGTGCCCGTCAGTGGGTCTCTAAAAGCGGGCAGTTTTCATTGAGGGGTAGTGCTGCTTCATGGCCAGGCCCATGTCTTCTGGCAGGACAACAGCCTGATCTTTGCCTGTCTGGCTTCTGCTTCACCTCCAATTTGCCTTTTGCTCAGACTGATACGTTGACTTTCACCCCAGCAAATGAACAATGCATCCCCTGGAAAGACCCCTGCCCACTGAACCCCGATAAATAGCTTGGCGGGCCTCCTTGCAATGCGGGCCATGGCTATTGGGGCACTCATGCCTGGCCCTGCTCTGGCTGCCCACAGCCCTCTGCTGAGGGCAAATCCTGTTCCCCACTTTCTAAAATGTGGGCAGTATACACATTTTTAAAAATGTCCTCCCTTCCCAACAGTGTCTGTAACAAAAAAGCAGTATACATAAAAGCTATTCACACACATGCATTTAAAAAGCACACAGAGTGCTCTTATTGCAAAGTGCTGGAACATCTTGAATACAAACAAACAAGATACCAGTGGGCGTCAGGGCTATTCCCACCCCAGTCCCCTCCTTCTCTTGCTTCTCTGGCAAGGCCTTCTTGCCATGATCTCATCTTCTCCTCTCAACACCATTCATCTGCATCCATCGATGTCGCGTTGGAACCGTCAGTCACCCTGAATATTTTCGATTCAATAGGGCCGTACGTTGCAGCAGTGGGAGGGATATGGGGATGTGCGGGATGTGCCTTCCAAAAATGTGCACTTAGCACACAATGTTTCAGAATGTTTGCACAGAAGCAGCGAACGACTGCACAGACTGGCTGCCAGGATTTCCTGCTACGGTGTCATCAAGCTCGCCAACATTGCTGCAGAATGGTCCACATTCCTCACTTGATACAGTACGCATTTTGTATTCCGAAGGAGCCCTATGGGACTGACTTCCCAGTAGGTATGTTTAAGGCTGTGGCCTGGATGTCAGCCCATGCGGGGAAATCTTGGCTGTAAGTCCCAATCTGAGAAGGGGTCAGAATATTCCAGAAAGGACTGGGAGCAATGCACTGGCCATTTACCATGAGGTACCTACAATTTCTAGTCACACAAAAGAGCCTGGCGTTACTAACTCTCTGTCATGTCCTACCTGGAGGAGGATGCCTCCGGCAGAGAAAGCCAGTGCATCCGACACAGGGGTCCTGGCTCCTCCTCTAATGGAGGGCAGTCATACGTGTTGTACTGCGGCAGGAGCTCACTGCACCGGAGTCCTCCTCCAGGGAGGGCATGGCGTTTTCTAGACTTGGGGGAGGGATGATCAAAGGAGCCACGCTTACTCAGCCCAAAGGCCTGCATCGTGTAGCATTCTGCTCCTTGAGCGGCCAACCAGATGTCCCAGTGGGAAATCCATGAGCAGGGCTTGAGTGGGCCCTGTTTGTCCTGGTGCTGCTCTTCGGAAACAAGGCCTATTATCGAGCACTGGGGGGCTTATTAACTTATGCTGGAGGTCATATATACAGCCAGCATGGGTAATAGCCACTGAGAGATGGCTAGTGGCCCTTTCCTTGATGAATTTCTCCAATGCTCTTTTAAAGCAGTCCAGCGTAGGAGTTATCACTATATACCGTGAGAGGAAATTCCACAGTTTAACCATGCACAGGGTAAAGAAGTCCCTTTTATCTGCTCTGCGCTGCCGCCATTCAGCTTCACATCACATACAGCCAGCATAGCCTGTGGTGAGGGAGGAAGGGAGGAGAAGGCTGACACATCGGGAGGGTCACACCTTGCCCACACTTGCTTCACACTTTCTTACTCTCAGACTTTTTACTGTGCATTCCTTTGCTTTGGAGAGTTTCCACTGGAGCTCTTCCTTTTCTCTATTTGTGCCAATCACCCTGAATTATTTGGAGCCATCAGCAAGCACGAGCAACCCGCTGCTTACGCTAACTGCAGATCATTTATAGGCATGTTAAAAATTGCTGATCTGAACAGAGATCCTTGGGGAACTCCACAGTTTACATTTCTGCATTGCGAGGACTGTCCTTTTGTTCCTAATGTCTGCTTTTCGTTCTATAAATGTGCATGTGTCTGTGCATGCATGCGTGTGTACACATATTTATATGCGGGAGAAATTTCAGACTGTTCCTGACAAGAAATGGATATTATTATCTTGTACGGGAGGAAGTGGTTTGTACTTGCAATTACTTTTGATGTTTATCTGCTGCCTGTTAGTACCTGGCTGCAAAGAACAAAGGGGGAAAGACTGCACAAACTTGGACCTTTTTAAAATATGGCAGCAATCCAAAATTGAGCAGATTCTTCAGTCTTCCAGTGGGAGGGGAATTATCTGTACAGGTGTCCTTCCAGAGTGGTTGTAAACATGGACAAAAAGGAGCAATTTAAAACAGATTTAGAAACTGACTTAATGACCTTCCAATAGAGACATCTGAGAGGCAGAAAGAACATCTATATATGTCATGTCTGTGGTACTGGTACAAAAGGTAAAGGTTTCCCTGCACATGCATGTTAGTTGTGTCCGACCATGGGGGTGGTGCTCATCTCCGTTTGTAAGCCAAAGAGACAGCATTGTCTGAAGATGCTTCCGTGGTCATGTGGCCGGCATGAC